TGAACTTTGTAGCAGATTCCAAGAGTTTGAAACTGCGAAACTGATGATTTTCAATTCAGCTGAGCTCAATCCAATGGCAAAAGCATCTATTCAAGGCCCTCTATACACTACTACTGTATTGCCTGTAGTAAAAATACAAGCTCTGCCAGGGTGGCTTTATGTCAGCATTTATGAACTATAGTGGCCATTCGCAGTATCAAACATGCAGAGGCTTTTCCACTAAATAAGTCAGCTGTGTTAAAGTATGAAAGTCTGAGATTATCCTGCTGGGTTTTTAAAAGAGCGTATTTAACAAGTGTACCTTTTGCATTTAGGCATGGGGTGACGCCAGGGAGAACGTCCATTCCCTTGTTAACGTTACTGCAAAGCACCAGGAACTTCGAGTGGAGAGCTAATACCAGATGCTGAGCACACAGGAGGCCAGCTGCCCATACAATGGCCAGGCCTAAGGCATTCAAATAAGCCCCACCATGTTCCCTGAAGCCGCTCTTTATTCATTTAAAGGGTCGAGAAGGAAAGCCAAGGTCTTAATGCCTCTTAACACAGCACTTGGCTTTCCCTAAAGCTGCTTACATAACTGTTTCGGCAAGATGAGAATGGGATAAGCTAAGACAGCAACCAGTATCTAAGAGTTGAGACTTAGGATACCGCCTTTTCACAATCCTAGAATGTGAAGCTTCCCAATTTCAATTTCCCTTAGAATTAATTTCATAATGTGCAAGAGGAGTAATTTTTTCTTAAAAGTATAATTTTCCCACTGTTTCAGAGATTAATCCTTCTACCTCAAACAAATCACAATAAAATTATGCTGGCATCAAGTGTGCCATTTATAAATAAATATTCCCCATAATTAAAAAAAAACTCTACCTGGACTTTGTTTTCAACAAAATCATAACAGAATGGTGCTTGCTTTTCACAGAGTTACAGGGCTAATACCACAAGAATATCCAACGGTTCTATCTTATTTGGTAATGCAAATCTAGATGGTATTCAGAAAAAAGGAAAGGATTAGTCAGCTTCTGTAAGTTAGCATATGGGAATTTTTATGAATGTGGAAGTATGTAATTCATTATTTTCACTCCTTTATTATTCACTAGGATTCTGGATGGTATAAACAGTTAACGTGCTTGCTGAAAGGTTGGAGGTTTGAGTCCACCCAGAGGCATCTTGGAAGAAAGGCCTGGCTATCTTCTTCTGAGAAATCAGCCATTGAAAACACTGGGAAGCACAGGTCTACTGTGACACATATGGGCTCACTGCCTTCTAGTAGTGTCATAGTGTCACGAGGAGGGAGGAGAATCAGGATCAGCCCAAAGCTAATTCCTACAAGGCGGAGGTCAGACATACCTCCACTGTCCAACTTTTTCACCATTTCTGACACCAGCCATCCCCCTCCCCTCCTGCCCCCAACAGCACTCTCTACTTCTCTGCTGGGTTCAATAATTCATTTATATGGCCACACATTTATATGGCCTCACAGACCATACTCAGGATTATGTGGCTTATTAGAGAAGTAACAGGTTACAACTCGGGGGCAGGATCAACTTGTAAGTAGCAAGATACAACTCATGAGACAGGATACAGTTTTTCAATCAGGAAGCCTTCCGACCAAGATAGTTCTCAGCTTCTTCTTGGCTGTGCATTCAGGCAGGTGGCCCTTCTCTTTCTTGGCTGTGCCCGCTGCAGGCCTTCTCTTGGCCGTGCCTACTGTCGGGGCCTTATTTTGGCCTCTGTACTGTTTGGGCAAGTGTTACAGCTCTTTAGCTCCACTGACAAGGGCCCAGAGGCACACTACTCTGCCAACAAGCCTCCTGCCTGAAGGCACTCAGCTCTCTCTTGCACTGTGGGTGAACAGGCCTACTGCAGTCACCTTGCACGGGTCTCCTGGTTCCCACTGCTCGTACTGCTGCCACCATTTCTCTGCCACTTGTACTGCTTCTGCTTGTACTGTCGTACCATCTCGAGCTGTCTTCAGTGTTACAGCTCTCTGTCTCCTGGGTCTAGGAGGTTCTCAGTGCAGAGACCTTGGGTCCAAAGGATGCAGTCTGCTCCAGGCTCTTCTTGATGGTGGTGAGGTCCCCCCTCAACTTCTGTGCAATTGGCCCTTATGTAAGCCTACTTCTTGTCAATGTCAAGTCATGATCTTCACACCAGACCATGAACTGACCAATCCCTTTGGCAGGTCACGCAGTTATTTAATTTGCATAGTAATCAACCAATTCCTACAAGGTCACTTAATCCTATTGGGTAGTTTTACATATCCTATTTGCATAGCAGACTGACCAATCCCTATGAAGTACATAAAATAGACCAACCACAGTGCAGGCTGCACCCCAACCAATTATTCTTGGCAGAATTATAAACCCAGGGTCAGAAAGACCATATATAAGAGAAACCCACTGGACTGCAGTCACCATGAGCTGGAGTCAACACGGCAGCAACTGATTCGGCTTATTACTCACTAAATGATAGTATACCCTTATCTTACCAAATGTACTTAGCACAGAAAAGGGTGTTATGATTTTATAACCATAAAACTCGCTATGTGAAAGCTAAGAAAAGACATCTGGTCTTAGGAATCTCAACGAAATCATAATGTCATTGGGTGTTCTCCTGAAGACTTAGTGCTCCAGAAAGATAAACTGTTCTAATTTGTACCAAGTACCCTGATCACTCTATAGGAGTCTAAACACAAATATATGCACACACAAACACACACACACACACACTATAAGTCCATAGTGGTAAACTGTAAACTGATTAATTTTACCAACAGGCCAGGCAGGAAAGGCTAGCTAATGTAATACTTTTCTTTACTATAATAATGTAATATAATAATCATTCAAAAGTCATATGTGTGATATGACTTAAAATGGCAGAGCCCTATAAAATCAGATCATATCCATGTAAGTGATACTTTACACAGTGAAGAAATGCAATAGAAACTAAGCCTCAACCCAGAAGCAGATAGACGGACAGACAGTGGTAGGACCTGCAGGATCTTCTCCTCAATGTTTACCTTGTTTGACATGTCCAAATTGCAGTTTGCCTCACAGAGGGCCACCACAATGGGCATGTTACCATCTTTGCAGGCCACGTGCAAGGGGGTGTTGCCGTGTCTGTCTTGGAAATCCACGAAACATCCTTGGCCTAGCAGAGTCTTGATGACCTCCATCTGACACCGTCGTACAGCAAGATGAAGAGCAATGTGTCCATCCTGAAACAAACACCAGGGACCATGACTGCTTTTCAGTTAGGCACATGGACCTAGTCTTGCCACCATTCCTGCCTTCACTGGGCTAGGATTCGTTGGCAGTGGTATGAGTACCGCAAAGTGTAAAGGAGGATTAAAATCATAAGCTTTACTCTTGGGAGGGGGGTGGGCTTTATACATTCCACTTTGAATACTCACAGATTAAGCTGCCCATCGAGGGCAGTGGTGGTTCAGTGGTAGAATTCTCACCTTTCATGTGAGAGACCTGAGTTTGATTCTGGGCCAACGAACCTCATGTACAGCCACCACCCATCTGTCAGTGGAGGCTTGCATGTAGCTATGATGCTGAACAGGTTTCAGTTGAGCTTCCAGACTAAGATGGACTAGGAAGAAAGGCCTGGTGATCTGCTTTTGAAAATCAGCCCATGAAACCTCATGGATCACAACGGTGTGAGGCACAGGCCTGGGTAGCGATTTGTCCCGTTGTGCATAGGATCGCCATGACTCGGGAGTTGACTTGACGGCAGCTACCTCCACCACCACCACGAACAACAACTAGCTGGCCAACAAGACTAATTTAGACTTGGGCGGCACAATCAGATAGAAAGAACCCACACTTCCTTTTGTTTCTGAATGTACACAATTTAAGTCATTTCTGGAACTCTAGTGGCCTGTTTTACCGAAGTATTTGAAAAACACTTTTAAAAACATTTGCTCAGCAATCTTTACTAACTTCCTAAGGAGAATGCTTATTATTTTTATTTTGTACCAGGAGAAACTGAGAAAGCATTGTGAAATAATTTGCTCAAGGGTTGTCATAAATATGAGAAAAAAATATAACAAGCTTAATCTCTGCATTCCATAGCAGCCTAGCCTGGAAACTCATCCCACCTATTACAGAGTAGAAGAAGTACAGCCAGAATGTCCCTTAGAGGCAAGGATGGCAAAACTCTGTCTCCCATACTTTGGACATGTTATCAGGAGGGACCATTCCCTGGAGAAGGGCATCATGCTTGGTAAAGTAGAGGGTCAGTGAAAGAGATGAAGACCCTCAACAAGATGGAGTGACAGTGGCTAAAACAATGGGCTCAAGCATAGCAAGGATTCTGAGGATGGCGCAAGAACGAGCAGTGTTTCGTTCTGTTGTTACCTAGGGTTGCTATGAGTCGGAACCGACTCAATGGCACCTAACAACATTATAGAGTTCCTGGTGAACAGGATGTTGAGTTTTAGCAGCTGGGGAGAAAGTTTTGAAACATTTCCAGAATTTTGTTATCGGGCTTCTCAACCTCAGCAATATTGACATTTTGGGACAGATGATGCTTTGCTGTGCATTGTAGGATGTTTCACAGCACCCCTGGCCTTTGCCCTCATTCCTGATCGTGACAACCAAAAATGCCTGCAGCCACCGTCGCATGTCCCCTGGGGGCAAAGTCAACTCCAGTTGAGAACCACTGCTCTTCACTAAGAAAATACTCCACAGATGACAATTACTAAATTAACTATAGTGTCCCAAATCTCATGATACAGAGTAACATCACAGCCTTGTTTTAAGCACAAGTTCGCAATAAAAACAGATGATGCCGATTTGTTTAATTGCAAAAGGGAACACATGGTCTCGAACGGAGGTTGTCAGGGAAAGTAGTTTATTGTCTTCCTAGAAAACAGCAGGTGATGGAAGTAAATTAACCCCTTATGTCTTTGCTTGTCTAAAAATTAATAGTGCGTTGCCAGTTTTAGTCCTGAATGAGGATTGCCTTGGGTTTAAGTGACCCTCACAGTACCTGCTCCACAGCTTTTTAAAAAGGCAAAAAATCAGAGAGCTCCAAGTCATTGGACCAATTCATAAATTCTGTCACATGCCACAAATGAACATTAATTATTAAACAGAATCTAGGAAAAGTTCACAGAGACTCTTTAGAACAAAGACGAGAAAGGAGAATTACAAATTGCTGCCTTCAAGTGTGCTATTTTAGGTAAACTAATTGAGGAGTCTTGTGGTCCTTCCATCCCCCAGACCATTTTTGAGTAAGCTGGATGCATTCACCCATAAAGCACCTTGTCGGAGGCATCGAGGTCAGCGCCGTGGTCAGCCAGACACTCCACGATGTCGTGGTAGCCCCTGGCTGAAGCGGTAAGGAGGGGTGTCTCTCCTTCGCGATTCTTAATGTTCACGTTACAGCCGGCTTCACAAAGGGCTCTGGCCACAGAGTAATAGCCGTGCCAGGCGGCACAGTGCAGGGGGGTTTCTTCCTCCTGGCAGAGGAGACAAGAGCACAGATGAGGAGGAGCACAACAATGTGAAACCCAGGCAGAGTGACAGTGTCGGCCAACTTCTACAGCCAAACAAAGTCAAGGCTGCGGAGCGAAAGAGCTCATTAGCTACTGGGGCTAAATATTAATCTGAAATAACTAACATGGGCATAAGGCACTACAATTAAGAGGCAGATCTGACTTCTCTCCTTCCTAAGTGTTCCTTCTTCAACACCTGATGCATGTTTCAGCATATACCTGGCAAATGACTTTTGGGAGCCCACTAAAACAAGCAGCTCAGCTCTTTTGAATAACAGAGTCACAACATTGGCAAATTTATAGCGCTTTCTTGTGAAAGTGCCTTTGTTTACTTAATCTGAGACTATTAATAGTTGGAAAGCACTTCTTTGAATAAGAATTCTTCTAACAGTCTTGATAAAGATGAGTCCCTAGAGGCATTCTTAGTTGGGCACGGAAGTAATGAAAATATAACCATGTTTTAACCAATCAAAGAAAGAGCTGGTTGTGAAGTCGCTAAAGTATATAAGGCCTATATTTTCATGACCAACATCATTAGACACATACATCTGTCTATGAGAGGCTGTTACAATGCAGTGGTTGTAAGCATGGACTGTGGAACTAGAGTACGTGGGTTCAAGCCCCAGCTCCACCACTTACAAGCTGTGCAAGCGTGGGTAAGTTAGTTAACCTCTCTCTGCCTCAGTTTCCTCATCTGTAGGATGAGAATGATAATAATAGTAACCCACCTCATAGGGTTGTCCAGAGGATGAAATGAATGATGCATATTAAGTGTTTAGAACTGTTCCTGGCAACAGCACTTAATAAAATTAGACAGTGATTCTCTTTGAGTCCCTGCCCTCTGTAATCTAAGACAAAAAAACCTAATTTGGATAAAACTCCAATAGACTAACTGTATCATTTGGCTGCCTGTACATCCACGCAGAAAGCTGAAGAAGTGAGGATATCAGCTATGGTGACCCACCTTGTCCTGGAAATTGGCATTGGAGCCGAAACTGCACAGTAACTGAACCACGTCGGCGTGGCCGTAGCGAGCTGCCACGTGAAGGGCGGTCTCTCCAGACTGCAAAAGAAAGGGAGCTGACATTTCAGAGCCACCCCTGTGAGCAGGCTGTGGTGGTGGGCTAGAGGCCTGTTCACAAACAAGCTGATTCCACACCTTCCACTTGGCTGCACCAGCCCTCCTTGGGCTAGATGCCCCAGCTTGGTGAGTTGGCCTGGGGCCTGAGGGCAGGGTGCCCACCACACAGCTCGTGTTAAGCCCACAGACCTTTCTCACTGTGTTTGTAATAAAACCTCACAAGCGCACACAACCTGGTGAGGATGCTTTCCCTTTTCTGTGATGGCTGTTCTCAATCTTCTTTATATACTGATGCTTCTAGCGATGTGATCTTACTAAATCACAAAATTCCCTCTTTAATAATAGGAGTTATTTGAATGAATACAGTATTTAAATACAGCAGTTATTTAAATGAATAGTTTTATTTATTAACAAGTTTCTCATTTCATTGTCTGACTATGCTTAGAGGTTAATTTCTTGCATTTTCAGAGATTTTTAAAAAAAAACACAGCTAGCAGCCCCTACAATAGCTTGCTGTGAATTAGCAATAGGTGTACCCCATACTGGAGCCCTGGTGGCACACTGGTTAAGAGCTATGGCTGCTAACCAAAAGGTTGGCAGTTCAAACCCACCAGCCACTCCTTGGAAACCCTATACTTGACTTACATCTGCCAAAAAATTGCCAGAATGTATTTTTTTAAAAAAAAACAAAATAAGATGCTTATTGTCATCTGCTAGAAAGCTGCCATAATGAACGTATGTGCCTTTGATGTGATGTCATCCCTTAGATATGGTACTCTTGTGCAGTGCATAACCCATCCAATTGTATGTGGCAGCCCTGACTGAACATAATAAATTCATCTACAAGTACTAGAAGCAGAGAAGTGGTGTACAGTAGAATAAATAATGGATGAGAAGGTAAGAATCCTAGGTCCAGGTTCAAGCACTGGCAGTTAATTCACGGATTATTGTGTAGACTGAATAAGACATATGTACATATGCTATAAAAGTGAAGTATCTTGCTAAATCAATAATTTTTTAACTTCTTTGCCCAAAAAGCCTTACTTTACATGCATTGTCACCTTAATCCTTTTGATGCCAGTGATGGTAATGTCAGCATTGTCAGCTATCTCAAAGAGGGGAGAACTTCAAAGAGGAAAAGAATGGTAAAGAGACCTGTTTAAAAGCACAGGGAGAGTCAACAGAGAATCAGGACCCAGGTCTTGCTCTGGTTGTCTTTCTATTATAACTTTGAGTTTTCTTGTTATGCAGAAGGTAATTTACTGCTTACATATTATGGCAATTATCTGGCAGATTTCAGCTAAAAGCAGATTTTAATAGCAGAACAAACCACCAGCAAAAAGAAATTTTCAACTTAAATTCTCTGCAAGATTTTGGTCCTGAATATTTTTTGGGTCCTTATGTGCATGGCATGCCAGCCCTTAAATACATCCTTTTATTACTTCCTATTGTCCCTCCTAGGAGCCCTGGTGGCTCAGTGATTAAAGCGCTCAGCTGCTAACTGAAAGGTTGGCAGTCTGAACCCACCAAATGCTCTGGGGGAAAAAGATGTGGCAATCTGTTTCTGTAAAGATTTACAGCCTAGGAAAGCTTATGGGGTAGTTCTACTCTGTCCTACAGGGTCACTTGGTTGGAATTGACTAGATGGTAATGGGTTTGGTTTAAATTGAACCTCCTGAGAAAAGAAATAGCCTTACCTTGTCTTTAACATCCAAAGGGCATTTGTTCTCATTGAGAAATTTCAAGGTATCCACGTGGCCATGCCGAGACGCCCAGTAGATGGCGTTGGATCCGCCCTGTACAAAACCAACATGGAGTCACATTTCGAGAGGCCTGGTGGACCTTAAGGCATACATCACTCAGATTCCCTGCTACTTCCTTTCCTAGTCATGGCAAACCCCAAACAAGCAACTTCAGGAGGAATAAAACCCTCATTTCATTTTTTAGTTTTGAGCAATGTACCATGGTTATGTAAGATGTTAACATTAGGAGAAGCTGGGTGAAAGGTATACGGCAATTCCTGCTTTGCAACTTTTTTTATAAATCTAAAATTATTTTAAAAATCTAAAACTGCTTAAAAAAAAAAAAACACTCCCATTTCAACCTCTGGTTAGAATTCCCTACACTGTAAAGCTCTGTTGAAAGTCTATGGAAGCTGATGACATATCCACTGTAATGATTATCAGCTGCTAATCAATTGTGTCTACATTTCCAATGTGAGCTACATTTCAGAATGTATCATTGTCCCTCTGTTGCTCTAATTAGCATGTAGGCAAATACTTTCTGATGAGATTAATTAGCTAATGAAAACTTTTCCAAGCGTCACATCTAACACTGAGTAAACATGATCATTAAGGAGTAAAATCTGGTATAGTGTAGAAAGAAATGCTGATATCAAGCAACAGAACCAAGAGGAAGATACATGTTTGCCTTCTAACATTATGCATTAGATTGTACCAGGCAGTTTAAGTACTTCGTCTTCCTTTACAAGAAACAGAAACGAATCAGTACATACATGTGTTTGTTTTGTTTTGTTTTCCTGTTACCCCTATGATTAAGAGACATTTGGGAATACTTAAGAACTTAATTAATTTGCAATAAAACTGAGTTATGACCTTATCCTGGACGTCGATTCTTGAGCCCCTTTTAATGAGTAACTGCAGTATCTGAATATTCCCGCAGCCAGCAGCAATAAGAAACGGAGGTGTCCCATGCTGGAATAGGCAAGGAAAAAAAATTCAATTTTGCAGGTTTCACAGGGAGGGAAAAGCCCAAAGTATCACAGCTGTCCCCACACACCTTCTCACATCTCAAAAGGCAAGCAACCACTACAGCATAACAGGAATGGAAACAACCAGAACACAACGGCTCTTCCTCTTTCAGATTAATCATCAGTGGAGACATTTTCATTTGCAGGATGAGTATATCTCAAGTTTCATGGATTTTATGGGTAGAGGTGTGTTATGGGTTGAATTGTGTCCCTCAAAATATGTGTTAAAATCCTAACTCCTGTACCTGTAAATATGACCCTGTTTGGAAACGGGGGTTTTCTTTTGTTATGTTAATAAGGCCATACCGGAGTAGGGTGGGTCCTAAACTCATAATCATTTACCAGTTCTAAAAAGAACACAATAGACGCACACAGGGGGAAGACACCATATGACAACCGACTCGCACAGCAAATGCACCTACAAGCCCAGGAACGCCAAGGACTGCAGGCAGGTACTAGAAGCTGAAATAGACAAGGAAGGACCTTTCCCTAGAGCCACACCCTAAATCCAGACTTCTAGCCTCCTAAACTTTGCAAAAACAAACTCCTGTTCTTCAAAGCCACCCACTGTGGTATTTTTTGTTACAGCAGCACTAGGTAATTAAGACAAGGTGCATGTACAAAGGTCTTGTATGAAGAAAGACCCTGAGCTCAAAAGACCTCATTCCTAACTAAAATCTCTCTCTAAACAGAAGTGATTTTTCAACAAGGTGGAGTTTCCGATTGGAAGGGACAAGGGAGAAGTAGATGGAGTCTTTCCACCCTGGACTTCAAAGTGTGCAGTCACTGTGATACACCCTCCACCCACCCTGGCAGAAAAGTATCTGACCTTGTTGGGCTGGTTAACATCGTAGTTGGACAAAGAGCCCAGAAGGTGCTGCAGGCCTGGGACATTGTCATCGTTGATGGCATGGATAATGGCTTTCATCACAAAGGAGTCTTCCTCATCCTTGAGGGAGACAGTGAAAAGGGAAAGAGAGTTAGCTTGTTGGCCCTGATCCCCTTATCCACAACAGAAATCAGTGCCCATTTGTTAAAAGGGGCATTCAGAGGATAATAAGCCATTTAGTAATTAAAAACCCACATGGTCATGAAGGGAAATAGGAGGTTATTTTGTGCCTGTTCCATGTTGGAAGCCCACTCCATCTACTATTCACCTGTGCCTTAATGTCTCCTGAGTTATCACCCCGAGAACAAACAGCTTTGAAGATTCAGATGAAGAACAAGAATGACAACAAAGTACCCTTTGTGTTTATCTTAGGAATCTGTCAAAATATCGGCCCCGACACCGCTGTGGAAAATTTCAGATGTAACCCAGACATGCTTTGGACTTTCCTTCTAGATAAAGAAAAAGAGAAACTGTACACGGAAGGAAATGCTGTCTTTGAATAAGATATTCTTAACTTGCCATTTTTCCAGTTATAGAATTGTCACTTTGTGGTCACTTGAGTTTCTTCCTTCTCTAGGTATAGGATAACATGGCAAAATTCTCCAAAGGCTGGTCATAGTTATTTAAAAATTTAGCTCAAAAAGAGGAGAAAAGTGAAAATAAGGTCCAGAAAAAAGAAAATGGATACATTTCTAAGTATAAAGGGAAAATAACTAGAGAATGTTCAAAAAGAAGTTAGTTAAATTTTACATCATTGAAGTTTTCTATAATAAGATATTTCTAGAATATGGCACATTAAAACCAAAGACTAAACTAAAAAAAAAAATCCCAAATTTTCTGGATTTGTAAGTATAGAGTTATAACTATTAGTTATACTTATATTAGTTACGTTAGTATACTTATTAGTATATTTATACTTATAGCCATTGAAATTTCATGTCTGGAAGAGTGTGTCTATAGAGGCTGAGTGTCTGCTTGCAGGGGCAGAAGAAATAAAGCATTCCTTTGAAGTTTGCTTTCTCTTCTCTATAGATCTGAACTCAAACAAGCTTCATGAGGGCTTTAATAAGATTTTTACAGAACACATGTTTAAGAATACCCCTGGTTTTGCTTTTCTACAATCCAAGCTGATGACAAAGAGGCATTTGCAGCAAAGTAGAAGTCAAGAGAAAGGAGGAGAATGGAAGAAATAACACAGATTGTTCTAACATGTCCTTGTGATGAGCACCATTTTGAGACTATGACAGAATCTGAGGCCCGGCAGGCACTCTCCGTGCTTGAAGTTCCTGCACGACGCTGGGTCCCTCTAAGGCTCTGCATTATTCATTGCAACACATACATTTTCTCCCAACTGATTATTCAGGATGAACGCAATTTACAGTGTTAAAATCATTCACATTATTACTGCCTGGAGCAATAGGAACCTATTATTTAGATTAATCGTTTTTATCTTTTCCCTGGTTCCACGGCCACTCTCAGTAACTCCTGTTCCTCACTTCTGCTCCTCTCTTGCTTTTCCCCATTGGCAATCTCCTTCCAAAAATCAGCCACTGAAAACCCTAAGGAGCACAGTTCACACATGGGGTCATCATGAGTCAGAGTCAATTCACTGGCAACTCGCTTGTGTTTTCTTTTTTCTTTTATCTCTTTTTACTCTACAAGGTTAGACCTGGGGCCTCAGCGAAACTGCCAGCTCCAGGAAAAAGAGAAAAAGAAAAGCTGGTGTCTGCTGATGTGTGATTCCTGCCCTTAGAGTTTCTGGATTCCACTCAAGGAAACACTGACAATCTAGTTACCGGAGCTGGTGGTTCCCACAGAACTACCCTTTCTGCCTTTTCTCCAGTCCCTTTGCCTCCAGAGGTAACAAAGCCCTGCTGTCTGACTGTCAGGGGAAAGTCTTGTTGAATTCAGATCTGTCCAGTCATATCTGAAGGGTTAATCTGGGATTAGGTTTCAGTTTGGATTGGGGGAAAAAAACCTAGATTTGTTCTCAAGAGCCTTGTACTATCAATATGATGTCAGTAAGTCAAGTGGGTTTAGCCTTCTGGTCTACCTTGAGACAAGCCAGCAAGCAACACTGCATCTTCCCTGATTTTCTGAGGGATGTGTGGAGGGAGGAAGGGCAATCTTCCCTTTTTCTACTACTACGATCCAAGATTCTCCTATGTCAGTGGCAATATGAGGGCTCTAATTTTAGTTTGGAGCCCTGGTGGCGCAGTGGTTAAGAGCTACAGCTGCTAACCAAAAGGTCAGCAGTTTGAATCCACCTGCTGCTCCCTGGAAACCCTATGGGGCAGTTCTGCTATGTCCTACAGGGTTACTATGAGTCGGAATCAACTCGACAGCAATGGGTTTTTAATTTTAGTTTGTACAAATTAGAACAAAGTCTTTCCTCTTCTACTGGCCAGACTCTCTTACCAAATGTGTGACTGAGGCAGTAGGGGTGGGAGTGGATATACTGCCAAGCAAAACAAAGAGAGAAAAGAAACAATAAGGTACCTCAAATCACCCTCCCTGCTGCCTGCCCCACAACCTCGAGAGGAAGAAGAACAGGCTTGATGTTTCCCTGACCTCAGGTTTTCTGAGCTGTTGAACAAACAGAATAACTTAAACATTCTAAATACACAGTGTTAAAAAGGAACCTCAGCAAGGCAAACAGGTTTGCTTACCAGAGTATCATCGCTTCTGGCAACACTCATGTTGCTTCTGGACAGGAACGACCTGGATAATCTTTGGCACAGTGATATCAAGCGAACGGATTGCTTTAAAAACAAAAGAAAACAATGGAAGGAAAAAGGCAGGGAGCGATGAGGAGAGAGAATTATGTAACAATCCTCAAATAAGTGCAAATGGCACAGTCTTTGGGATGGTGCTCATTGTTTACAGCATACATTCTTCTGGGTGGGTGGTCCCACAAGTGGGCTGATCGGATTTGCTTCAAGAATAACTCTAAAGGCTTTATAAATCTAGACCACGAGGTAGAGATGCTCCTGCATTTCATTATTAAACTACAGAACTGGATGCCCCACATCCCTTCTCTCCTGTTACTCTGAGCTCTGCTCTTTGGGACACGTGATCTGACCTGGCATAAGCCCTTTACACGTACCCTCTCATAGTAGGCAGGAGACTTGCCTTGTATACTTTGTGCCTATGAAGATCTAACAGGTGCATGGGCAATGGTAGATAATCTGGCCATCAAACTTCACACAGTTGGTGGAAACCAACAGGTAGGGGACCCTTAGTCTATAGGACAAATACCTCTGCATTTACATTCAATGGTGGAATCAACATGTAAAGAACAGGTGTATGTTTACTGCACATTTTAAGCCTTATTGTAAGGTTTCTTTGGGGCTAAAAGTCAAGTTTAAAGTCATCTAGTATTATGGGCCTCTTCGTGCCTATCATGGCACCCCTAAACTTGATGATCATGAAAATAAGCTGTATTTCTGGCCCAGTGTTAGGAAGCCACCTGCTTCCCCTGGATATGATGTGACCCTGGGCACAGAAAGCCATCCTGCCGCCTTCTTAGCCCTGAACTGTGATTGTTTTCAAGGATGGCTGGCATGCACACACAGCCCCTGCAGAGGTATGCAGGCTGAGGAAGTCAAAGCCACACTGCAAATGCTCACGGCCCCACCCCAGGCTGAGGAAGTCAGGGCCACACTGCAGATGCTCATGGCCCCATCCCAGGCTGAGGAAGTCAGGACCACTCTGCAGATGCTCATGGCCCCATCCCAGGCTGAGGAAGTCAGGGCCACACTGCAGATGCTCATGGCCCCACCCCAGGCTGAGGAAATCAGGGCCACACTGCAGATGCTCACGGCCCCATCCCAGGCTGAGGAAATCAGGGCCACACTGCAGATGCTCACGGCCCCACCCCAGGCTGAGGAAATCAGGGCCACACTGCAGATGCTCACGGCCCCACCCCAGGCTGAGGAGGTCAGAGCCACACTGTAGATGCTCACCGCCCCCACCCCAGGCTGAGGAAGTCAGGGCCACACTGCAGATGCTCACGGCCCCATCCCAGGCTGAGGAGGTCAGAGCCACACTGCAGATGCTCA